CCACCGGACAGTCCACTCATCAAATCCATACCTCTCCAGTTTAGAGAGAAGGATGTTGTGGGGGACTGTGTCAAAGGCCTTACAGAGGTCCAGATAGACGACATCTGTAGCCCTTCCTGTGTCCACTGATGTAGTCACCACATCATAAAAGGCCACTAGGTTAGTCAGGCAGGACTTAAATACTATGAATTCATATTTTAGGTCAGAATGATATAAATGTTAACTGTCAACCTGATGTGCAAGTATTAGCCTTTGTAATTCCCATCTGCACTCGTGGGAGTTGACTGGTAAAACATCACATACTTAGTTGAGAATATATTCTACTGCTTTCAACAAAATAGTCCACAGTATCTTTTTAATGCTGGAATCTTTTTTGTAGACCCTCAGGGCATGATGCACAACTTAGCTATTTTTACAGAATAACTTTTCAGTTTAGAGGCTTGAACTGAACAGGAAACAGCTGGCTGAGATGCTAGTCTCAAGGGTTTTGAAATGTTTCAAAAATTGACATCAGGTTAGTTTTAATTTTGCAGCGTTTATATATCAAATGACATCTTCACTAAAAATGAATCATCTGCAATGCCACTGCTCCTATACACAGTAGCCTATACATGTGTCGGGACTCCACAAGAGTCACTTTCAATTCAAACACACAATCACCAGTAAGGTTTTAATTCTCTGCAGTTATGATGAAAACGTAATTAATTAAAAGAAGGCTTGTGAATGGGCAGAGAAAGCAGGCCTTCATAAAATATGGTGAAACACTTATCAGCAATTGAGTCTTCTAGACTCTCCCAAATAATATACCTGAAAGACCTGTATCTGTTGGGAGGTCTCCCACAGAGAAAAAGGGCCCCTCATGCTGATGTTGTTTCTTCACTACAATATAAACTGAGATCTGAACTGGCACTTTTTCCAGGGATAAGGGGACAAGATATCCCTCCTGAAGTACTTCTATCTCATTGTCTTGAATTTTCTGACAAAAGCAGCAGGGTCAGTTCACTCTTTTTCTAACATGAACCCCAGCGAAGCCTTTGTATACATTTTTTGTATTCATTCACACTTGCTGCTTAAAAAGTTAACTTCAAAACTGTAAATGGTATATAGAAAGGAAACTTGGATTTGTTCAAATTGAGGCAATTTCAACAGCTTGTTGAACCAAAATGGGCCAATCTATCAATAGCACAACTCAGTCTACCTTAGCACTATCCATGTTGCCTCTTCAGATTCTCAACAGGCTGTGTTTCTATGATCCCAACCAAAGATAAAAATGCAAGACATGCAGGGAAAGAGGCAGGAGGAAAGGGAATACTTCTGCAATAGCCTTTAGGGAACAGAAGTGACAGGAGGGTCCTGACATTCAGTTTTCCCATATAACTACACTGGTTTTCATCAGGAGTCACTCAAACTCTCTACTGGTTGTTTCCACTTTTAATACTATCAGCACTGATTGGAGCACACTTAGATTGGGGTTGGTACTGCACGCTCGCTGCTGCTTAGCTTGCTTCCCCTAACTTAACCCAAAAGCTGCAACTGAAGGGGTGAGGGAAGAGGCGATTCTCACACCATTGGTGACCACATCCCACAAGAACACATCATCACAACAATATAAGGGTTTTCAGTAGCAAGGATATGATAGTAACAGCACAAGAAAGAGGGAAAAACACTGCCCCGGAGGCTTTGGAAAACACTGCCACAGCAGCTTGCGTGAAAGGCTACAGAGCCACGAGTAGAAGCAGCCTACAGAGTTGCAGATAGCCCTCTGTGTTGATAAGGACCTTATAAGACGCCTAAGAGACTGTGCAATAATACTCTTCTCAGCTGTAATCAAAATATATATTGTGCCAATATACGCAATCCCATTCAAAATCAGAATTTGAATAAACTTGCAGGGGCGTCTTCCACATTAAATATTTGTACATATTTGCAAAACATGAAAATAATCAGAAGCTTAATCAGCAAAAGCCTCCACATTTGTTCACCTCCTACATAAATTCAAAGAGTTCTTATAGACCAACGAGTACTAACCAAGTAGCAGGGGAGAAGAAAAGAAAACTGTCACTGTCTTTCCCTGTAAATAACAAGTACACACTTCCAAGACAACTGAGACCTATTTTGCTTACTATCCCATAATCTACCTACCATCATGTACAAGAGTATCTATCCTCCCCCTCTTCCTTGCCAAACCCTCTATTTGTCTAGGTCCAATTTAGGGCAATAAGATTGCCTTCTTTGTTAGCCCATGGAATAAAACTGGAACTGTATTTATGCTAATTTTTTTTGGTAGTTTTATGGATAGAAGAACAATATTTAGGGAGTGAAATATAATTTTTACTCGTATACTTCACATGTCAGCTTTTACTGACACAGAATAAATATTTGTCCATTAAGACAACTGTAAAAAAACTTCAGTCAGTAAATAGTGTACTCTGTGTAAAACAGTACTATAACTATGAACAACAAAAGCAGCAAGACATGAGATTATATTAATGAAAATTATTTAGACATAAATATTACCAAGTAAAGACATACACTGTATGAATTTATGAGATAAGTGACACCAATCCTTGCTATAGTAATTGTTTCAACTTAGATTCTGTATTAGCTTATCTCAGCCTTTTGAGACTTGCATGAAACAACACTGTCAGGAAGATGCAATGAACATGAACCAAAGAGCTATTGTAATTTACGGCTGAGAATCTGGGAGATATCATAGAATCATTAAGGTTGGAAGAGACCTCTAAGATCATCGAGTCCAACCGTCAACCCAACACCACCATGCCCACTAAACCATGTCCCTAATATCGAAAAGACAAAAAACACAAGAATAAACGACTAAGGGAAACAGGGCAGAGGGAAGTGTGATAAAGCATCTGCAAACACCATATTCTTAAAAAAAAGGGGGGGGGGGGGAAAAAAGGGTCAAAATGTCGGTCACAATGTGAAATAAGTTATTCTGTTTTCTGTCTAAATGTATTTCTTTTAAGTATTACAAAACACGTTATGAAGTTATGGACAGAAAAATACTACTAAAAAATTCAGATCCAAGTTACATGATCACTCTAAAAGATAAATACTGAAGGAGGACATGGAAAAAGGCAAGATGATGTATGTAGCAAGAAATGCTACAGGCAATTCTCCTGTAGTATTAAGAATTTTCAAGACTTCATTTATTTTAACATCTTTCTTAGTCCTGGAAAAGAAGTTTTGGAAAAAAGATTCATATGCCAAACTACAAAGGGTAGACAAGACACTATTTCTACACTAGTTCCAGCCAGTAGGTTAAGACAAATAGTACTTCAGTTCTCCTGCTGAACTTAAAAAAGGGATGTGCAGCAAAGGCAGATACTCTGAAGTATGTCATTAAAGAAACTTATACTGCCTAAGTTTTGTAATCAAATCCTAGACACATAGGCCTTGAAGGGGCCTATAATATATATTATTAATAATTAATAATATATAATATTGATAAAATTATTAATTTATGTTATTATTAGATATAATCACAGTATCTACTCAAGCTGCAGCGAGTTCAATTCAATAGAAATTGAAAGTGTAGTAACCTGGTGATCCAGTTTAAGAGTACAGCAAGCTATTAAGTGCCCATCTGGGAAAGGGGTGGTAAAGACTTGCCACTTAAACATAATGCCCATAGGAAGGATAGAAGATGGAAGGTGTTGCCCGATTTTCCACATTCAGGTTAACCAAATAATAGTATGGCCTATAACATTTTCATGCTCTTAATATCACTTTAATTTTTGCATTGCATAATCAAACTGTCATTAACAACTGTCCCTATTAATGTAGCTTAAAGCATCTTATTTGTTTTAGTATCACTTAAGGCTAATTTTGCAAACACTTGCTGTGGTCAAATAAAATGTTTAAATATTTAATCTGGTATTTGAAGTCAGTAGAGCTACTCAGCATCTCAATGGTAAGCACATGCTGAACTCGAGCATTAATCATAAGAAGAATTATTCACAGCAAGTTGGCCCACTTCGTTCCACTAGATTGTTCACAGAAACACACCTTTTAAAAATACACATTTGAAGAATCAACTCTAAAAATATTTAGTTTACTTCCTGCCTGTGCTTGTTTTGTAAATTTTATGTTGCCACAGTATATCACAGTATTGAGATAAAAAAAAGAAAAGATTGCAAGGTCTTAAAGATTCACTGAGAAGTTGTCCTACAGCATGGGAAAAACACATATGAAATAATCTGTTCAGTAGATTAAAAGACAACTGTATTATTTTAAATGTACACAGCTGTAAATAAAAATTAATACTGAAAACATTAAAAAATTCTGAATTCACAAAGTTGAAAGATAATTAACCATCTTCAAGGGCCTATATAAGCTTCATGTAACTTTGTACACTGAATAAAATTAGAATAGTGGTTTATAATTTGAGAGGGACTCTCAGATGGTCCTCTTTTCCGTAAGAATTTTCAATGTAGAGGAGAAATACAGAATAAAGAGTAAATATTAACCCAATAGATGAAGAATGAAGACAGCTGGAGTTATATGATCCTCATTCAGCATATAACCCGTATTGGGTCATTTTTTGTACTTAATAGCTAGTCGTAACTTAAGCGTACTGTTCAAATGTACACTTAAAAGGCAGCTCTGAAATGACCAACAACCAAAACTATGCTTTTCTGGGCAATATACCTGAACTCCAACACAGGAGAATCTCACATCATGAGAAAATGATAATTATTTCAGAAATATACCTCTTTCTACTTTGATCTCGTCAAGGATTTCATTTTTGTGTGCTAAATCAGATTCGATAGCAGCCTCTAGTTCAGCAATTTGCAGTTTCAGTTGCTGTTCCTTTAATATCCATTGCTGTTCATGGGTCATATTGAAGACACTGCAATAAAACATGTGGCATGTGAAAAACTTTTAGAAATCAGCTTCACCAGAAAATAATAAAGAAAAAAGCTTTTAGTGGCACAGAGACCACTGTCATCATGTCTTAGGAATTAAGTAAACATATGCTGGTCTGCTGCTGTTGAAACCAAGGCGCCTTTCTCAGGCTGCGGTTAAAAAACATGAAAGAGTCTGTGGGATGAGCAAAGGAACTGGCCTTAATTTAGAGCTCCGAAGTCAGAAAAGTTGGCAGCATGCAACATTTGTGGGACTAGAAAAGGAATTCAGATGCATATCCCAGAGTAATCCACAACTCCAAACCTCAGCAACTGACAACTGACAAAACCATTCTTTCCGCATACAAAACCTCTTAATGTAGAGAACTGGGATCACCCACCTGATTTCTTTTAAATCTGTGAAACACACAGAGCCTAAAGTCAGTTGCCCTTTCAAAGAAATGTTGACCACAAAGTGACAACAGTTTTCTCATATTGTAAAACAACAATTCTGATACTGATTAAGAAGCACATATAAAGTAATCTTTCTCATACTTTAAGAAATAAAAAACAGAGGTGGGCAAAGAAATTAGAATAACTATTTTGCCTGTAACACACGATTTACTTGTAAACTACCAATCTATGTGCAATAAGGATTGCATGGACACAGAATCAGAACTGCTGAAACCACAACAAAATGTGTAACTCAGATTGAAACAAAATTAAGTACATTATATAATTTACAGTATAATTCCCAGTAGGTAAAAGACAAAGCAATGCAATGTGCTTTCATATAATTTAGACAGTGAGTACTATGGTCTTCATATTATTATTATTATTCAATACTTGCATTCTTATTGACTGGAAAAATGTCCTTCATCTTAACCACTCATAAATCAGTTTATTCACTTTTGTATTCTGTGAAAAATCAGAAATTCTAGGGTTTTTTTTAAACAAGAGTCTGTTCCTCAACTCTTCACTTTGGTGAAGCGCACCAGTTTAAAAAATTATTTTTTAAAATGTATTAAAAAAATCTTCTGATAGCTATCTATGTATCAATCTATCTCTCCCAGAGATCTATGTAACAAAAGCCTCCACCAAAAAAAACATAGAGGAGAAGAAAGAAATGTCACAGCAGGGACAGCCCACATAGCTTCGAAGACTGTATGTGCTGACCGAAAGAGAACCGCCTGTTTTGATGGCTATGACGACATAAAGTGGTTCTGAGTACATATAAGTGTATTTATATCTAATATATTTGAAGAATGACCTTAAGATTAAAGAAAAAAAAATATAGCATGAATTGTAGACTCTAAAGTATATGGCAGAAGTTTACATTCTTGATTTGTGATCTTCATAAAAACAGTTGCATCTCTCTGTATTTTGTCTTTTTCTCATATTATATCTCATCTATTTATACAGTTCTCTAGGCGTATACCATCTTATAGTGTGATAGAGTGTCTTTCATAGCATGCATGAACTTAAGCGATGCCTCTAAGTCTTGCAGTAATATATACGTCACTCTGCTATAATTTTGAAGATAATATGCAGTGAATATAATGCACGGAACCCACAATCGTTTCCATAATACTGCATAGGTACAGAAGAGACACAGTGTGTTCTATAATTGCTTAGATTTACCCAAAGTTTGATTGGCTCCCATAAGGAAAGAATAAATCTTAGCAGAGAAGATAATCAAATACCCTTAGTTTTCACACTTCTGAAAATGTTTTCAAGTTTTAATGACCATGATATCTAGTTATATGTGCATTTGTTACCTTTAGGTACAATTACTTCACATAAAGAAGTAGCTACACATTATTTCAGTTTTTCAAAAGACTATGCTGGCAGAAAAATCATTAACAGTTACTATGATAGTAATTCACAATTTAGATGTTTAAATGAAGAACAATTTAGAAGACAGGTTTTATCCAAGCCCATATAATGCGAATGTTATGTCAGTTTGAATTGAGTCCGCTTCTGTTGCTTTCTTCCTTTGAATTTTAAGATTACTTTTACTTGAATTAATGAGAATTTCTTTCACATTTACTGTATTTCACTGCAGTTGGAGCCATCTGGGTAACTATAAATGGTCAACCGCATCTGGCACCGTTTCCTTTGGAGGGAGTTTAAGCATTGCTAGATTTGCATTACAAGGTCATATGAAAACAATTCCTCCAAACCTTTTATCCAAACGAATTGTTTTCTTGGATACTGACTAAATAATAAGAGTCAACTGACAAATTCATACTTGTTCTTCGTAAACTTTTCAGATCCAGTTCTGCAGCCTTGGCTTTGGCAAAATTCCCATCAACTTCAAATGATTTTCCAAAAAAATAACATTAGCAAAGAATGGGTTTACACCTCTTTTCCTCCATTAAAAAAAGAAGGAAATATTTATTAATTATCTGGCACCTGTGGATACTGGCATATCCACTGCTAGCAACAAGTAAGCAGTAGTGAAGTTGCATTGTTCAAATGGGCAACAGAAGAAGTTAGCCATTAAACAGTAGTTATAATGAAATGATCCATTTGTCTTTCTAATTTCTTGTTACCTATATAGTAACATGGAATGATGAAACATGAATCAAAGTTTAACTGGGAGTATATGAAAAGACAGTTCATTTTAGGGAAAAGAAAAGCCATATTGTAGATTACTGGGCCATGAGAGAACCACGTTTAAATTTATTTAGTGAAACATCTTTTTAAGTTATCCCACTATGACTTAAATAGAACAGAAAATTTCAAGCCAAGATTGTATGAAACATCTTTAAGTTATCCCACTATGACTTAAATAGAACAGAAAATTTCAAGCCAAGATTGTAAGTTTTTATGTTAGCTAAGAGTTATTTCTCTGCATAATGATAGAGCAGAAAAAAAATCATAACCAGAAATATTTATAACATGATCAGACTTTGGAGGAATCTACAATGAACTTAAGCGAGAGACAACTGACCAACTGCCCCTATACAAAACTCTAAATATTGTGATTATACAACTGTTATATCTCATATGTAAAAAATCTGTTTTATGCTATTTGTACTCACCTTTTTTTACTACTATAAGTTTTAATTTCACCATAGAAAGTACAAAAAGTATAATAAATATTGTACGAATATTATAAACAACAGTTGATATCACTCACATTGTGTTTACTCATTGGTATTTTTTTTGACAGACATCTCACTGACAAACCAAATAAACTTTAAGAGGATAAATAATTTTGATATGAGAAAAGACTTCAATCATTTTACCTACTTTCTGAGGCAATTATTTTCTCCAGGAAATTTCTCTTATTTTCTAACCCTCTTCAGTGTAAAAGACCACATGGTTTCACAATAAAGGAAAAGTTCATTTAAAGGTCATTTTTTCCTTTAATATGCTTGCGTCAATTGATTATAATTACTTCTGTTCTGTACCAGAGAATTTCTGAATCATATCCGGCAAGGTATTTTCATTTTCATTGTAAGCACTGCTGATACAATTTATACAACTTATTATGTATAGGAACCTTTGTAAAAAGTTACATAAGCCTATACAAAAAACTTCAAACAGAACCAGTACAAGTGAAATGGTAGCTATTACCAAAACAAACAAACCACCCCTCAAAAATAAACATTGGAGAAGCTGTCAAATATCAGACTTTATAAAGGTCCACTGAGAAGTGCTGGAAGAACTTATACAAAAAGTTCAAACACCACTTTTCGCCAAATAAAATAAACCCAAAGGAATATATGTTTACCTAGATGTATTCTTCTTTCAACAATAACCCTAAAAAAATTATTAGAAATTCAAATAAAAACTTTTTGCATTGATGTTCAAAATAAAGTGACTTCTACTTATTTTTTAATTAGATTTTTTAAAATAAGTAATCTACTATTTCAAGAGTATTAGAACAAGCATGGAAGTTGCTCTGTTTCAACAGAACAGATGAAATACAGAGAGAACACCATAAAAGATTCCATATACACTTACTGATATGATGAACTGTAGCATGAATATATTTACATGTGTGCACAAACACACAATACGCATATGCACATTCAAGCACACAGTATATGAAGACCTATTAAACAGGACAGGGATCAAGTTTTTTTATATACAGAAACCATAACTTACCTGTTATACAGCTTATCATAGTTTTCTCTCAAGAGTTCCTTCTCTTTTTCTAGATCGTTTATTCTTTCCTGTAACTAAAATGAAGAAGGAGGTTTCAAGCAATGCACAGCACAAAAGGAAATTACAGTGAATATGTAAAGACAATTAGTTAATAATTTGTAGGCATTGTTAGGCTCTTATTTGTTCTTTTTATACAACAGTCTCTTAGAAGCTTCAAAATAACACTTTTTTTTCCACCACATGGTTACATTTGGCCCAGGCAGTCTTTTTCATGTTGTTTATATGAAGCTGAGACTAAAATGTCATAGCTGAACAACAGTATCTAATCACACTCTGCCTTATGAGGGGGGAAAAAAAAAAATCTATAGCATTAAAAATTTTTATTTCTGTTTTGGTGAGTATTAGTATTAGCTAGTTAATGGCTCCTGTAAATATTTTTTTATTGACCTTACTGAAAGAATAAGTCCTTGCTTTCAAAATACTCACTAAAGCAGGATATGGTTTTAAAGATACAAGATGCTTTAACCCAGAAGATACACCCTACATGCATTACAATAGTTTAAAGGTTTGGAGGAAATATCTATGAGGTAATCTTCGTAACCTTGGTTCATGTAAAATACTTGCAAAACAGGTAAACCAGGCGGTAAATCTAAATTTAATTTGCTACTTGCTTTCAAAATACTCACTAAAGCAGGATATGGTTTTAAAGATACAAGATGCTTTAACCCAGAAGATACACCCTACATGCATTACAATAGTTTAAAGGTTTGGAGGAAATATCTATGAGGTAATCTTCGTAACCTTGGTTCATGTAAAATACTTGCAAAACAGGTAAACCAGGCGGTAAATCTAAATTTAATTTGCTACAAAATGAAAGAAAAAACAAGTAAGTTTGTAGACTCTTACTCCTCATATATTGATGAGAATGAGAAATAAAACATTTGATTTTTAGCCCTATATCTGGGTGATTATTAGTGATGCTACTTGTCTCTGAGAGCCACTAGACAAAGAAATAGAAGTGACTGACTTGAACTGCTGAGTAAGACGTAATACTACACTGTAACTGTAATTAAATCAGGTTGAAATAATACTAAAAAACTAGCAATATGTGATCAATAAATCAAGTATTATGATTTTTTTCTGGTTAACAAACCACTTGTGTAGTAACAGAATTGACATGAAATCCTATGCTTTAGCCTCGAATACTGTCCAAATGCTGGTGCAGTGATTATGTGGCATGGAGACCAGGTATGGTTCACGATTCTATGAAGTGCAAGCAGCAGCCACAGGATTTTCTTTTTAAGGGGATAAAAGTATATATATTACCAGGTTAGTCTTCTGAATGTGTTTGAAAGGTCTATTCACATCTCCGCAATTAAAAGGTATCCCATCATTAACTTTTCTCTTATCTATGTGTACCATCTAAAGCAGATTCTAGCTCTCTTGAACACAATCTCACCTCCTCTGTCCTTCGGTTTGAAACAGTCACTGATTGCAATTCTTTTTCAAGATGGAGGCACTTTAACCGCTCCTCTTTAAGCTGTAGATTCAGTTCATCACCTTTTGCTATTAAAGCATCATGGCTCCTCTTCAAGTTCCTTTGGTTCTATGAAAAGGAAGGCAGGCAAATCCAGAAACCCCCCCCCCACAAACAACACACACTTAGTAGAATGTTACAGTACTCTGCATATTCAACCAGTGGTCTCTCATGGCAGAATTTAATATATATTCTCAATGCGGTCAACAGGAGACACTCTTGAACCAAGTAACTGAAAGCAACTTTCATTACACATGGCCGGGAGAAGGTGGCATTCTTGTCGCTCTCATGAACGTTAAACCCTCAGTTCAGTCATGATGAAAACGACCAAGAAATACATCTGTTAAGCAATTAAAAGATTTTGCTGCGGTTACAGTGGTTAGACATGCTGACCAAAAACACTGCAGTAGCAAGCAAAAATGAATGTTGACCACAGTTATGTTAATCACAGAACTTGCCACAGCTCTGTTAACCCTTAATTGTAGATATATAATTGTTTCATGATCCTAATGCACTCAGTTCTATTTCCCTGCTAACAGTAATTTAACGAGGGACTTATGATTTCTTTTACATTTTAATTTACTTCAATGGATTACGTTAAGGCACATTTAACCAATTTTAATATTAAATGGAGGATGCTGATAGAACCTCAATTTCCAGAATATTAGTTAATATTATACTCCCTACATTCCACAATGCTTTAATAAAGCCTCATTCATTAAGAATTTCAATGTAAATCACATTCAAAGTATGACTTGAAACAAAACAGCCCAAAAGCCAATCTCTTGTTTAATAAAGTGATTATATGAAAATTTATGTCAACTATATGTATGAGTATAGATAATGTTTAATGACTGTAGGCAGAAAAAAGTTAGCTTCATGTTTTCCATATAAAATTCCTACAAAGTAGTTAAATGGAGAAGCTGAACGTGAATCCTGTGCAAATCGTTTAGGTTCACGTGCAGACTGAATATCCTAGAAACAAACAAAAACCCCAGAGAAAACCCAATCACCAACCTGATCTTCAGCCTCTCATATCTCATTTCTCCGTAAGAAAAACATCATGGAGAATAAATAATATTAGCAGTCAGTCTTATTTCAGAGAGATAATGAAGTATATTACTCATCAATTTTAACAGTCTTTCCTCAGTGCTCCTCTTGCTGTCCCATATCTGTGAACTGTATTTCAATAACTTCAAAAAATGACACCTTAAAAATAATTCTTTTACACTCTTAATTTCTCTCCGAATTTCTTTCCTTTCTCCTCAAAATCAGAATCCTTACAGTCTCTAACCCTTCCAACTGTCCAAGTGAACTCATGTTTTCTTCCCCATCTCTCAGCTTCAATTTTTTCCTGAAGTTCTTTTCCATTTCAATAACTTGTGTCACTTCAACCCACTATATATGAAGAAAAAAAACCCCAAAAACCCACCTTGGCAAAGCTGCCTTTCATAGACCATTTCACCCTTATCTCTTTCCTTAATTTCCAAAACAGTTGAAAACAAATTCCACAACCATATTTATTCTACTCAACCATCTCATTAAAAGCACTAAAAATATCCTCCTGAAAAATCTCCTTGCTTCAACTTCATTCTAATCCTTTTGTGTCTCCGCTACTGTCCTGACCGTTTTAGATTAACTTTATTCATTAACGTTAAGGGGACCATGACTTCACCCTTCCCCCCCCCTCCCCAAAATGCATTCTTTACCTGGATATTCTTCTATATCTGACTGTTTTGTCAGCACTTTTTTTTTTTCCATTATGCCCAAACTGTTTTCTATCCTGCTCTCCCTGGAGTATCCCAAGACTCGGGTCACGGCAACAATTGGGATGATGATTTTAGTTTAATATCTCTAGTCTGGAATTTTATTTCTTTGGAAACATGCCTTGATATTGTTGTCCATCAGAAATAACTCATTTAAAGAAAATGGATATATACCTCCTAGAAATATTGCACAAATGAACATAAACTGCTCTCAATTACAGTTGTGAAATTGTTGTATTGGTTGTTCGAGAGAAGAATTAACTCTCTATAGTATTTTAAATTGTAGACGTACAGGTTAGCATATCTCATATTACAAATCACGAAATCCTGAATGTTCTGTCTGTAATTAAAGCAAATAAATATACCAATGGGATCAAAAACATAATTCAAACAGTTTCAGGGTCCTTTGTTCTTCTAAGCAGATTGCACATTCCTTCATTCAAGTGGCTACAAAAAACCCTGTCCTGTAAACGTTTGGTAGCAAACTCAACTTCAGTGATGGAGCAGCATTATAGGCTCTTATCATTCTGTGGTTTCACATTTTGGGCTGACTCAAGTTCAAAGATGAACATGGAGGAATTATACCTGGACAAACTCAAGAAGTGGGCCGGTGTGAACTTCATAAGGTTTAACAAGGCCAAGTGCAAGGTCCTGCACCTGGGTCAGGGCAACCCCCGGTAATAATACAGGCTGGGGGAT